TTTAGGCCCCGGATTTCCTGGGCTTCACTCTTCTGCTGTATCTCTGTTGATACCTGTATGGTTGAGCTTGGTAGTGCTCTCTTCTTTCCGAAGTGTTTCTATGAGCACGCCGCTCCCTCCTGAGCATGGTTGCTGTGGCTTTATTAACGGTATTTCTAAATCCATATCTATGGTAAGTGCTCACGCTAGTTCTTTGGGCACTTTTTCTAGTCTATATCATTGGCAAGTGTGCACGCTAGTCTTTGAGCACCTTTTTTAAAAACCCTTGTTGGGTAAGGGTGGCACGATGCTGACCTCGTCCCCTTTCTCTGAGATGGTTCTGGCCCCGGTTTTACCTTGGGCCCCACTCTCCGTGTACATACTTTGTAGACAGGGTGTTGCTACTAACTCCCCTGGGTATCTTATACTCTCAGAGCGGGAAGTAGTCCCTGTGTTACAAGCCAGGATATGGGTTTTTGCCAGCCCTGGTTCTTGGCTGTATCCCCTTAAATTAATCCTTTCTTTATGATTCCAAGCCTTGAGCTTTGCCCTGGACTCGGGTTTTTCATGAGCCAGCCCTTGCAGGTAAGTTTTTTGGCACAGCTCGGCCGTAGGGGATCATATCACTAACAGCCGTCAGAAACGTCCTAGGGGCAACTCCTCTGATTTGGTTGAGTTGGTACTTAGTGCTCGCCTCAGTATTGGCATGCACTCTCCTCAGCATGGTGGCGTGGGTTTACCGTTCCCCATAGCGACCCCTAGCGGATGCAGTTCGAAGTTCCCTCGGAAGGGAACGTCCCAGATTACGTATGTAACCATGGTTCCCTGAGAAGGGAACGAGACACTGCGTCCTCTAGTCTCCTGCCATGCTTTGGACGTAATCTTCAGACAAAGAAGCGGATGACGTGTTCTCCTGGCGCCCTTTTATACTGTGGTTGCGCTGGTGATGACGACATAGGTTGTCACTGACCAATAGCAATGGTGCGTTTACATTTATGCTTCAGACACTGGTCACGCTGGAGTGTGTGTGTGAGTTAATAGATGGCTTTGTCTGAGTGTAGCTGACAGAGGGATTATTCGCTCTCATAACTCGGCAGCTCTGCGGACAGATGTTGCCTGCCAGACACTCTGCAGGGCGGCTCGTTTATCATCCAGCAGCGAACCGACACGTCCCTGGCCCATAGTCTGCGCCTTAAAGACTTAAACACTTACCTTACAGGGAGGCGTTCCCCATAGCGACCCCTAGAGGATGCAGTGTCTCGTTCCCTACACTTTTAAGATTTGAAGTACACTACTAGTGCACATTCAATACAATTAAGCGCACTTCTATTAAAGGGTTTGAATGAATAAATTTAAACAAATACACTTTTTCGAATACAAATGTCTCCAATGAACATCCTGAGGCTGGAATGCACTGTACACTATGTTGTTCAGGAAGACATTTTCCAGCCTGTTGCTCTTAAAAATTATGCTTTCTTTGATGGCCTAAAACTGTCCCAGAGGTTGAGGCCTCGCAGCATCACAGCCACTGAGAGCTGCTTGTGTGTTAATAAATGAGCCTGTGAGAGTGTGTGTGCTAATATATGGGCATGTGAAAGTGTGTGTGTGTGAGTTAATAGATGGCTCTGTCTGAGTGTAGCTGACAGAGGGATTATTCGCTCTCATAACTCGGCAGCTCTGCGGACAGATGTTGCCTGCCAGACACTCTGCAGGGCGGCTCGTTTGTCATCCAGCAGCGAACCGACACGTCCCTGGCCCATAGTCTGCGCCTTAAAGACTTCAACACTTACAACTCCACCTCACTGAGATATACAGCAGCTCATCTGATATACGCCTTGCTCTACTGAAGAGCTGAAGACTCGCTTAAGTCTGCCTCTCTGCAGTAAAAACTCTCAACTCAAGTGCTGAGGGCTTGTGGGGTTTGACGTACTTCAGTCATTACTGTCACTCAAACACACATGCAAAAATGGAAATGGAAAAGTCAAAACAAAAAGGTTGGGTAGTTCTCATAAATATATATTGTACAGTGCCCTTCAAAAGTTTGGAAATGTTTGGTTTTTGGAAAATATCATGAACCTTTATTATTTCTTGTGTTTATTAAAATAACTTATAGTTATCATTGAAGACCAGCAATAATGACTTTTAAAATTCATAATAATGGCAATATATACATGTCAAAGTCTGGCAGACTCCTTTTGGCAACTGTGATTCCTAATTAATTACTGGATTAAACTTGCCACAGGTTACTTTTGTGAGAAAAAATAAAAATAAAATACAATGTAGGCCTATAAAACAATCATTCAACCTAGCAACAAACAGGGTTAATATCATTAACTAAACCAAAAATTACATCTAAAACCATAAAAAAATGCCACTTGAAACAAATTAAGGGTCAGTTTTACTAACAGCTTGCACCAGCACAAACCGTCTTTTGGCGTTAAAATAGTACTGTCAGGTTCTACTAAAGACGCGCAGTGAAGAATTAGCACTGAAAAGGCATGGACAGTTATTTTTGCACGACCTTATTGAATATGCATTTCTAGGAGTTTCTACGGTGAACAAAAAGTGCAAAACAAATCACAATTCTGAAAACAAAATAACAAATTACAAACGCAAATGCAAGTCTAAAAAACAAAATAATTCAGAAAGCACAACAACAATTCAGAAAACATTATAACAAATCAGAAAACACAGACAAATTCGAAAACAAAATAACAAGTCAGAAAACACAACGACAAATCCGAAAACAAATGAACAAGTCAGAAAACAACGACAAATCAGACAACCGGAAGAGGTAAGTATAGTTTGAGACAGCGCCATTGGTTTGGGATTACTCACCGCTGACTGGACGAGACATCTGTCAATCAACGTATACAGGGAAGAACCAGCCGAAGAACAGCAGAGTCGTGGTAGAAAGTTCGGAGATGGTATTAAAGTAGCTCAGTTTAAATGTATTGTATGACTTGCCCTTACTATGGAATAAAAAATACAGAGTGTCTATTTACACTTAGTTAAAAGTGGTTGTAAATCATCAGCTCCAGTGGTGCAGATGGATAAGCATTTGTTGTCGGCTTTTTGACGCAATCGACCCGGGTTCGATCCCGCCTTTTGCCAAACCTTTTTTTTCTCCCTTTTCAAATCCAGTGTAAATAGAATCCATTGCTAATACGAGATTTGAAAAGGGAGAAAAAAACCCGGGTCGATCGCGCCAAAAAGCCTAAGACATGCGCTTATCCATCTGTGCCACTGGAACTGATGATTTACAGCCACTTTAAACTAAATGTAAATAGACACCCTGTATTTTTTATTCTCTACCACGACTCTGCTGTTCTTCGGCTGGTTCTTCCTGTATACGTTGATTGACAGATGTCTCGTCCAGTCAGCGGTGAGTAATCCCAAACCAATGGCGCTGTCTCAAACTATACCTACCTCTTCCGGTTTGTCTGATTTGTCGTTGTGTTTTCTGACTTGTTAATTTGTTTTCGGATTTGTCCTTGTGTTTTCTGACTTATTTTGTTTTCGGATTTGTCCTTGTGTTTTCTGAGTTATAATGTTTTCTGAATTGTTGTTGTGTTTTCTGAATTGTTATTTTGTTTTTTTAGACTTGCATTTGCGTTTGTAATTTGTTATTTTGTTTTCAGAATTGTGATTTGTTTTGCACTTCTCGGCCACCGTAAGTTTCCCTTTCAGACAAAAGTTATGGGAGGTAAGTATTCAAATGAATCACCCAACACGTTTTACTAACGTTTGCGCTCGTCAAATTACTGGCATTTGCGCAAAAAAAAGCATGTCTTAAACTATTTTGCTATTAACTATTAGTAAATCACCTGCAGAAATTTCGGAATAAAACTGGCCCTAGATGTTAACTGAATTAAACAAAAATATTAAACAAAAAAAAAAAAAATATATGTATTTTTATATTTCTTTTCATGCTTAACTTGAAGTACAAAAGTAACTGAAATAAAACTGAAAAACTGAAATAAAACTAAAATAAAACTAGATCTATAGAGACATATTAAACATGAAGTATTATACATGAAATAATGAAAATGACAACTATAAATAATACAAAATAAAACTAAAATTCAAATTTAATGGAGAATATAAAAATAAAAATGAAATCAAAATAATAATAAAAGCTATAATAGTATAACAATAATTTGAAAATATTTTGAAAATATAATAATATATTATAATATATACTGAAGTAACGAAGTCCTCTGAGGCACCAGAGTTGTGTATGAAAGAAAGAGCAATATGAATAAAACTATTTGGATTGCACTACAGAAGAGAGCTTCAAATTGCCCTCCTGACAGGGTTACTGTCATAAACTAAAACTAAAAAAAAAAATAATTAATTCAAATAAAATAAATATTATCTGAAATAAAATAAAATATAATAATGCTCATTTTCATTTAGTTTAAGTTGAAGCACTGAAATAACTGAAAGTAGATAAATAACTGAAAAAAAAAGATCAAAACAACAAATTTCAAAAACTTAAACTAAACAAACTAAAATTTAAATATAGAAAAATACGATCTAATGCAAAATATAAAAACAACTTTTTTATCAGTGATACTACAACAACTCTCCCAGACATCATTGCTAAAACCTACGTTGTCACAAATGCAGTAGTTTAATATAATAATGCATAGCAACAATATGCTGTATTTATAACCTGAAGTCCGCAATTAATGTAAGAAAGTTTTGGGAGATTTTGATGGTGACAGTAAAAAGAGAAGGTAAGAGAACATATTGATTTTAGAGTAGGACTGCAGTGTTTGATTTCTGCAGGAGCTGTTCTGAATAGCTGTTCTTGGGCACAGGTCTGTACCTGAATGACGTGTCTGTGTCTTTTGCTTTTCTTTGTGTTGGGAGATGAATGCAAACAGACATTTGTTCTGAACAAACACAGTTGCCCTTTAGCTTTGTAATTTATTTACCCTCCCTGAATGAGGCCAGTCCGATACGTTTGCTTGTGTCTCATTCACGAGTGTTGTGTCTTTGTGTTTTATCTGCAGGAACCCGTCTCCTACCCTCCGCCAGCCCAAGCACTGGTGCAGGAGTTTCTGTCACTTCATTGCTCAGTGAGTACAGCAGCTTCAACTCTCTCTTCTGTACTCTTTTGATGTGTGCTGTCACTAGCATTGTGTTTTATGTTTTACTTCAAGCCACTTGCATGTTTTTACTCCTGAATCTGTGTTAAGTACTGAGAAATACTGAGTATTTAGATCAGACAGGAAATGTGTTAGAATTTCTCAGTGGTTCCGAAAAAAAAAAAAAGTAATAAATTTGAACATTTATTGTATACACGCTACCATTCCAAAGTTTGGGTTCAGTAAGTGTTTGATTTGTTTGTTTTGTTTGTTGTAAGTTTTTTTTTTTTTCCTTTTAAAGAAATTAATTATTTTATTCAGCAAGGATGCATTAAATTAACCAAAAGTGACAATAAAGACATTGTTACAAAAAATCTATTTCAAATAAATGCTGTTGTTTTGAAATTTCCATTAATCCCCCCCCAAAAAAACGGTTTTCAACATTTATTTATTTATTTAAAAGAGTTATTTGTTTTAAAATGTAAACATTGTTATTTTAAATGGTCATTTGTTGTAATGTTATTGTTTTTACTGTTTCTTGATCAAATAAATGCAGCCTTGGTGAACATAAGAGATATCTTTCAAACAAAAATGAACCAACCAAACAAACAAATAAGTCAATAAATAAACAACACCCTTTTGTCAGGGCGTTAAAACAACAACAACAATAATAATATAAAACGTTTTGAAAAGAAAGAAAAGGCCCAGACTACCAGACAGCTGGCAAACTAAAAACTGTCAGAGAGCTATACAAGAACAAAACAATCAACAAAGCAAACTGGGCAGAACAGCAAGTGCTGGGACTGTATCTTGGTAGACAACCAGAAAATAGTGCCAACTGACACATGGCACAGAGACGGGACAAATGACGGATAAACCAGTAACAGGATGAGGACTTACAAATGGGATCTAAAGGTAAGGAAATCAGGAGTGCAGGTGGGACAAATCAACTAATGATCAGGGAAATAAGGAGATAACAGGGCAAACGAGGGGGAGGAGCCAGCGCAGGACGAGGAAAACATGCAATTCAAAACAAGATCTTGAGAAAAAGCACAGGAAAATCAGACATGAGTGTCAGAAATGCTTTGCTTTAGTGTGCTTGTGTATCTTTCCCTAAAAATGAATGTCTCTTGATTTGTTTGACATCTAACACAATGACATTCAGATGTTTTGATTATGGCTTAAGTGTCCAGATCCTTTTGGTGTTGTTGTACCTCCATCCTGTCAGTGTGTTCAGCTGTAATTTCACTTGACAAGACCAATTCTGGCTGTTTCTGTATGAGCAAAACATGCAGTGAGAAGTTTCCACAAACGCCTCTCAGGCATACGGTTTAATTCCTGTCAGACAGCCTGTAAATAAAAGAGGCCTGGCTCTCTGTGTGTGTGACTGTGTACATAAAAGCAATGAAAAGCCCAGATTATTATTTCATTATTGAGAATGAAAACATCAGAGAGAGGGATGCTGTGTGCGCGGCAGGAGGGCTGTGAATGCTAATTGACTCATTTATTTGTGTTAGTTGTTCATTTGTTAGTGTGGCAGGTCTGCTGGCCGCTCGTGATGAATTAAATGCACAGACGCAGTCATATTCATTAAGCGTGTTTGTGTGTGTTTCTGTGTGCTGGTGGGATTTTATCCTGAGTGCTCTTTAAGTGCTCCTGAGTGTAATGTCTGCCACACACATAGCAGTTGGTGTTGTGGTTAAAATTCAAGGTTGATTGTTGCAAGTCTCAAACTGGTTGAGCCATTAACTAGCACCATTGTGCCCTTGAGCAAGACACTTAACCGCAGGTTATTCCAGCAGACTCCGTGTACTGTAGTATGACTGTGGAAGCTTATACCATTTTTCTGACATCCTCTTTTCATTTTCTCAGTTCATAAATTTGATGGATGTGTAATTAGATTTTGAAGAGCTGTTAACTAGCTATTAGTTTCTAGAATAGAATGCTTATGAAGCATTATCTTCTGTCATTTAACCTGAACTGTTCGTTAAAGGTGCACTTTGATTTTTGATAGGTAAAATAATTACTTGAGTTCGACTAATGTGGCTGCCATCTTTTACTTCATTCTGTCATCCAAAGTATTCAATAACAAGGGGATAGTGAGTAGTGTTACCACGGTAAAGTAAGTCAAGTCAAATTATTTGACACAATTTGTATTGTATAAAGAGATAAACAGGAAATAGCAGAATCAATTATGGAAACTCAGTTCAGATTTGTCTGTAAAGCGTCTCTAAAATATATATATTTTTTATTTTAAATTTGTTTTAAGCTTAAGCTAATTACTTAGTAAAGCAAATAGAATTCGGCTTCACTCCAAACTTCAAGCAAAAGGTTGCCAGATATCAAAAAAGCAACCTAAAAATTAACATAAACATAGCCTCTATGTTAAGACCAAAGAGTTTCTATATTTTTCCTTTTTAAAACTGGACTCTTCTGTAGTTACATCGTGTACTAAGACCGACAGAAAATTTAAAGTTGTGATTTTCTAGGCCGATATGGCTTTTTATTAAGGCTGATATTACACAGCGCCTGAAAATAGGCTTATTGGAAGTTACCTAGCTGGGGACTATTTTCAGGCGCTGCGTAATATCATTGCGAAAACGGTAAAACTCAACCGTTTAACTCTAGGGCAGTTGGAAAATGAGCCTATTTTTGTATTATAAAAATGTAGTAAATTAATTTTAATTGAATTGTAGTTTTGTATTTAAGATTAATTATGCTTCGTGTATAGTTACAGCCATGGGTTGCATGTAATATTGATTTGTGATTATCTGACAGCTTGTAGTGGGGGATCTAGAGTTTCATGACTGAACTAAATTTACTTTATTAGAAATGACAGTATGAATATATTTCTATATTGCTCAAATATTGCACTATATCTTTAAAGATGGTGCTATACAGCACCTTATCTACCGCAAAGCGCTGAAGAACCATTACAGGTTCTCTATAGGTGCTATATAGCACTTAAATTGGTTTCCCTATGATTACGAGCCAAAGAACCACTTAGCGGTGCTATATAGCACCTCAACTACCACAAAGAACCGCTGAAGAACCAGTTTTTGTGTGTGTGTGTGTGTGTGTGTGTGTGTGTGTGTGTGTGCTTCTGTTACGAGGAGTATTTACTGAGCTGAAGATGCTTTGCTGTCCACAACCTATACGCTCCAGTATCACTATTCAGAAAACTGGCATTTGTCTGCATAAATCTTGTCTAATTATGATGTGATCATTAATTAAATAAAGCTGGGGAAAAACACATATACTCAAAAGAAAAAAATTGCAATGCATCGCTCAGCGTTTGTGTTTGCCACAATAAATCTGCTTCAGCCTAGATGAGGGTTTTTATAAACATCACACTGAAAAATTGTGTTTTGAGAGCCATTAGATCAGAAATAATTCTGCTGAGTAAATCCTGTCAGTGTGTGTGTGTGTGTGTGTGTGTGTGTGTGTGGTGTACAGGGACACAATGTTATCACGAGGTGCCGGCTGTTTGCTCTCTGCCTGTGTGTGTACTATAACAGCACGCTGTTGTTGCTGTGTTATGAATGTGTGTGTAATTGTGCAGCTGAATGGCCTGTGCTCTGCTATCAGAGCCTCAGCCATGCCGAGCGCTAATGACAGACCCCTGGGGCTAATCTACTGCTTTTAATGGGGTCTAGACTCTAGAGGGGCTGGTCTCAGCACAGACGCAGTTTCAGTCGAGAGTAAAGCAGGCCACTGAGATTTAGACGGACACTGTGCTTAGTGCTTTACTTTCCGGAAAACAGGGAAACAAGAAAAGAAATCCAAACTGGACAGATGAAGAGGAATGGGGAAAGTCAAGACATTTAGCCAAATTCAGTCCAGCTGGTGACTACCCTTGTGAAAAAGAAGTACACTTTAGAACACTAGAAAAGGAGTACTTGCTTTGGAAATAATATACTTTGTTTAGAGTCACTTGATTGCATGTTAATCACAATGAAATGAAATGCATTATTGTTTACATTTATATTAAATGCAATTACCTAAACTTTAAAGTGCTTTTTTGACCCACTTAAGTAGGACTAAAGTACATCTTTAGTAATTTCATAATTAAAGGTAGTGAAATATGATACAATGTACTGCTGAATACTGACAATCATCTGTTTGTCGTGTATTTAAATAATATTTGTAATTACACATTTGTAATAAAGTTGCCTTGCAGTTTAGTAGTCATTTAAAATATATGAAATTTTATATAATATTAAATAACACAATAGAACATTATGATTAATTATAAATAAGTATGTGTGCTTTAGCACAGTATGTTAGTCAAAACATCAGAATATGTGTACTTCTTTATAGCACGACAAAAGATTATTAAATCATACTTCAAAATGAACTTTCAAGTAAAACTTAATTTGATATTATTACAAAGTGCACTTTTTAAAAGTGTGGTTACACTTTATTTTAAGGTTTCCTTGTTTCAGTGTAATTATACATATAAGTACTGAGTAAACTACATGTAGTTACTATATGGTTTGGCTTAGGGTTACTTGCATGTAATTATTATGCATAAGTAATTGTTATTATAATATTAAGTGCATGCAACATGTAACAAGGACACCTTAAAATATAGTGTTACCAAAAGTGTATATAAGTGTGCTAAGAAATAGTCATGAAATTAAATGTACTTGTAAGATTTGCTGTACACTAAAATTGCCCATCATTACATATCATACACGGATCATAAAGAAATATGCAAAGGTGTCATGAGACATGATCAACAGGTAACCACAGTCTCGGAGCAGGAGGACACTTGCATGCATGTAGTCCAGAACAAAAGAGACAGGCCTGTAGACACATGATAAGACTGTTTACATTGGATACTATGGTGACATGCTTAACCTCGCTGAAGGTGCAGGACGTTTTCCTTGTTCGCTTTTCATTTATTAATCAGTTTTCACATTGATTTCCATGTCATTATATGGAAAACTGTTATGCGTGTCGTTTGTGACATTGCATGCTTCTCAGCTTTCTGTTTGTCTTCTCTTATATTTCCCCCCTTCATCCCTTCTCTTATCTGCAGGTGTTTGATAAAGGATTTCGAGACGCGTCCATCAGTGACGCATCTGCTGGAGCATCCGTTCATTAAACAGGCTCATGGGAAAGACACGTGGCTCAGACAGCAGCTGTCGGTCCTCATCCGCGAGCAACAGGACGTGGGCAGCAGGACCAAGACCAGGTACATCCTGCCCACAACACAAACCGCAGGCCAAACAACACTCTGACTTTTCTGAAATCACATCCAGATGTTCATGAGGCAGAGAAAAATACATCATGGCACATGCTTAAAAAGGCTGACCGTTAAACATCACCGCTTGAGATTATAAATATACGGGTGGGTTAAACAGAAGTATTATTTGTTTGGTTTATAATAGCCTGCCAATCATAGATTGTCATTTTGAAGTGCTTTCTGATTCGTCTCAGGGTCAGGCCAAAGATCTGGCAGCCTTGCACATTGACAGCGGTCATTGTGAGGCGCTTGACTTGCATTTATCACTGTCTTCTATAGATGCAGAGCTGTCGCGGTGGATTTATCACGTCTAAATATGAAACAGTGAGACTTTCTGTTGTGACAGTCTAGAAATCTATGAATCACAGCATGTGGGTTGAGTTTTTTGTAGTACTGTGTCATCTATCACTTTGAGGGTTTCCTCTTTCCAGCAGATGGCAGTGTTATCTGTGGAGGAATGAAGCCCCTCGGGTTATTCTGAGAGGCTGGCATTCAGGAGCATTAGATTCAGTCGTCGGCTGCGTACAAGTCAAACGGATAGCTCTGATGCTGTTATAGACGCTACACATAATGAAAGAAAGTGTTTCCACTGGGTTCTCCTTGAAAATGTTAATTTAGACCCTTAAAATCCTGCAGATCTTGTATTACCTATTCTTTGGGCCCTTTGAGGAGGGGACAGGGGGCCTACAAAATTCACAGGCCTTGTGAATTTAAATGACCACCCTGCCTATAGTATTCTCAATAGTTGAGTTATAAAATTAACTCAAATTGGCCTTTAGATTCGTCTAAAAGTTGCTGAATATCAAATATGAACGTATTGAACAAAGTAAAATATTTTAGTTTACTGTATTCTAAAGCTTGACAAAGACTGGCCTTTCACATGAAAATCAGCATGATTCAGTTAAAAACTTAGTAAGATTGGTAAGATGGCTGGAAAGATTTTTAAATTATTTTTGAAAGTCTTTTATAGTCATAAGACCACTCACACACACACGCGCGCACACGCACGCACGCACGCACACGCGCACACACACACACACACACACACACACACACACATTCATACACAAACGTGTGCGCACACACACACACACACATTCACTCACACATACACACACACTCACTCACACACACACGCGCGCGCGCGCACAGACACACACACACGTATATATATATATAGTATATTGACTGGAATCTATTTGAAGATGTAATTTATTCCTGTGATCAAAGCTGAATTTTCAGCATCATTACTCCAGTCTTCAGTGTCACATGATCAGAAATAAGTTTATTATTAATCATTTTTTTTTTTTTTTTTTTTCAGGATTCTTTGATAATTAAAAGTTCAAAACAATAGCATTTGTTTGCAATACAAATTTTCCCCAAATTTCCCAAAATATTGGAGAGGGTGACCTAAATGTTTTTGCTTTTTACAACTTAATTGCATCATAAACAAAAGCTAAATTAGCTTAATATAAAGTTTTTTTTTGTTTTTTTTTACTTGAGATAAAACTAAAAACATTTTGTTAGTCAATGTTTAATTTAGTTTATTTACTACTACAAAAACAACTTTGAAAGGCCTCATGTTTATTGTGACGATTATTTAAAATATGTATCATGCAAAGTGAGGGTTAGTTACTTTTAGACAAACTGATTTTGACCCTGATTTTGATTAGACCAACATAAAAATGCCCTTTAAATAAATGGCAATAATAATATAAATGGTAAATAAACCACTTTTTCACTTTAATTATATATTTGGGGTTATGTTATGTTTATGTTGCTTGGGCGATTCATTTCTGTACTAAGATACGTCTGAAGCATTAGTACTCTTAACCCTGTCACCACATCTCTCTGATTCAGGGTTACAGGAGGATTCACAGTCCCTGATGAATTCAATGCGACAGAGGGAATTTTACATCTTACATCTTTTCCACTTGACTGAGACACAGCGATCAGGGCAGGATGTTAACTACTCTTGTTCTTGGGTGTCTATGAAGACAATTTTAACTTTTTTGAGAAAGTGGTGGCTGGTACACTCTGTAATTATGAATAAACAGTCAGAGGGTTGCCAGATTGTAGCCACTCATTCCCCAGGCCACATATAATCTGCTAGCCTGATAGTGACAGTGAGAGAGCCGTAATGAGATTATGAGCTTGGCTGTGCTCTCTCTGTTTAGTCACTGATGGCAAATATCAGTGAAGTGATTACAGAGTGAGGGAACACTGATGCACACACAGAAACACAGCCACACACACATAAAGCGCAGTGTATCGTGTCTGTACACTGTCATGTCCCCGGGGCCCTATGGGTTTTAAGAGCTGTGAATAGAGCAGCTGCTTCCTCATGATCTAAAGGTCAAAAATACAATAGCGGGTCAAACGCTGATGAAGTGCTTAGACTAGACGCTATAATAGCCTTTAAACCCCAGAGGATAGACCTGCATCACACCCTGATGCCGCATGCTAGATTTTGGGTTACACTTTATTTTAAGGTGTCCTTGTTAGTGTAATTATACATTTAAGTACTGAGTAATATGATTTAACTACATGTTCTTACTATATGGTTAGGGTTAGGATTAGGGTTCGGTTTAGGGTTACTTGCATGCAATTATGCATAATTTATTGTTATTATAATAGTAAGTACATGTAACATGTGTAACAAGGACACTTTAAAATAAAGTGCTACCAGATTTTGTTTTTTGGTGTTTACTAAGGCACGCATCACTATTACCGGTCCTAATAGTTAGGGTTAAGGATTTTGACAAACCTCCTCTAAATATTTAGCATGCATGTAACTAACTAGTCCTATAATATTTGTGACCCTGGACTACAAAACCATGAGTCATTATCTGAAAGCTGAATAAATACGCTTTCCATTGATGTATGGTTTGTTAGGATCTGATAATATTTGGCCGAGATACAACTATTTGAAAATCTGGAATCTGAGGGTGCAAAAAAATTTAAATATTGAGAAAATCACCTTTAAAGTTGTCCAAATGAAGTTCTTAGCAATGTATATTACTAATCAAAAATTAAGTTTTGATATATTTATGGTAGGAAATTTACAAAATATCTTCATGGAACATTATCTTTACTTAATATCCTAATGATTTTTGGCATAAAAGAAAAATCTATAATTTTGGCCCATACAATGTATTGCTGGCTATTGCTACAAATATACCTGTGCTACTTATGACTTTTATGTCATTTACTTATGGCTTTTGTGCTCCAGGGTCATTTGTGCTACAGACATCAATGGCACTTCAACTCAATAAATTACTTGTTTATGATTGAATAGATTTTTTAGTATTTCATGTTTAGTGAAGCTGTATTGTGTTTTACAGGCATAAGCGGATCAATACTCGCAAAACCCTGATCATTGAGAGCTGTCCTGATGATGATCTGGTGAACCTGGAGGTTTTAGATGAGGTATATTTAGATGATTTAGCTGAAATCGAAATCGAAATAATTTTATTTTGATGTAAAGTCAACAAATTTACCTTAAAATCGACTTTCTTAGTATGTGTTCCTGGACGTATTTTTGATCAGTTTTTCCAAATAATTGCATAACTCCATTAAAATGCATTATGAAAACATAACATAATGTTCTGAAAGTAAAATGAGATGCAGTTGGCATTTTATGTTGACTTTAAAATGTAATGGAATTCAATTACTAAACTGTCTGCTCAAATTCAGTGAATTCAGTGAATCTTGTAGTATAAACAACAAAGATACATTTCCATCTCCAGCATTTCTCGTTTATAGGAAATAATCATTACACATCTTCAGAGGCGATATCAGGAGCTGCAGATCTACACATATGTGGGTGATATCCTCATAGCGCTTAACCCTTTCCAGAACCTCAACATCTACTCTCCACAGGTGAGAGGAGCAACATCAGGCTGTGCACTAAAGCATCATTTATGTCTAAAGCAGGCCATCTTTGTTTAAACCATCTTATGTGTACAATGTGTAATTCGCTTGGTGTTGTGGGGAGCCACTATGGCGTTATTTTAATGACAAATGTCGAGAGCGCATTATTGTAGTGCGAAAGCACATTCATATAACGCGCGAGTGCGAATCTCTCCGCTCGCACAAAACTGGACGCGTTCAGATACACGCTGCTCTCGCCCGGAGAGAGTGCGCGCACTTAAAACGTGTCTCTCCTCTCACTCCAACTTTGTCCTGTGCACTCTCAAATCTCTGTGCTCATGCACTATAGATATTAATTATTTTCGCACCTGAATTAAACGTTGTCAAAAGTTATCATTATGCACTTTTAAAAAGTAGTCTCAAAACAGATTTGTGCATGGCCTTTTCTTGATTTTTTTTTTGTTGTTGTCACGAATCCGGTCCATGGACTTCCGTTTGATCGCCACCAGAGGTCACCCTACCATTACATTGACTCTCATACTACACAAACTGTTACACATCACCCTGGACTACATTTCCCATGCTCCATTGCACTAATCACAAGCTCATCTGAAACCAATCACACACAGCTGCTACCAATAACACACACTATATAAATCAGTCTCACACCACCATTCAACGCCGAGTATTGTTTAGCGTTTATCTCTCATCTAGTGATAGCTACTTTACGGAGCCATTCCAAGTTTCTGAATCTAGTATAGCCTTGTTCTTAGTCTGTTTACCCGTTTCTTGATCCTTGCCTGTTATCTCATTTTGTCTGATCTCTGCCTGCCCTGAAATTTATAGCCTGTTCTGGAATTACCCTTTGCCTTGCTGTTTCGGACTGTGTTTGCACCTCGCCTGGACTCTAGCTCATCTTGTGGATTCCCCGTTTGCCTCGCCCTCAGGATTACGTTCGCCGGAGATCGACCACGTCCGTTTACTGGACTACTCTTGTGTCTTGCCCTCAATATACCTGTTTGCCATTGTTTGACCCATGCCTGTTATGACCACGTCTCTGTCTAATAAAAGCCTGCAGATGGATCCGCACATCTCACGTCTCGTTCGCCCCGTAACAGTTGTATTTTTGTTTTAACATAAACTGGTTATTGTAGCTACTTTGTTTTACTATATCTATTTTATGTTTGTATTTTGATCTTTTCTGCGAATGCACGTATGCATCTCTTTGTAAAGTAGGCTACTTTGTATACACTGTTTTAAAAGGCGCTATATATGTAAATAAAGCTTAAACCAATCAGACCTCCACAACTGACCAATGAAAATACTATGTGAAATCTAATTGGTTGAGAGAACGGAACCTGGAATTTCTTTTGACAATCAAAGATGGATCTTTAATTTCTTTCCAGTTTAAATGACCCCTGTAATGAAATGTAGCCTATAGAAATGGCTAGGAATTGGGTGCTTGGATGATTAGTACATATAACCTCTGTCCAACTGGTTGGTCTCTGAGCAATTTATCTAAAAACAACATATTATAGCCTATGGCTATTATAGCCCTTAGCTGTTAAAACATTAATGTTATGTCATAATATGTCAGATACCTCAACTGAATAACATCAGGCTGTGCACTAAAGCATCATTTATGTCTAAAGCAGGCCATCTTTGTTTAAACCATCTTATGTGTACAATGTGTAATTCGCTTGGTGTTGTGGGGAGCCACTATGGCGTTATTTTAATGACAAATGTCGAGAGCGCATTATTGTAGTGCGAAAGCACATTCATATAACGCGCGAGTGCGAATCTCTCCGCTCGCACAAAACTGGACGCGTCAACTGAATTTAAAATCATTGCAATAAATTCTCAGTTGGTATGATGACAATAATAAGTAAAAACTCCTCAAATCAACATCAAATGCAAACTGCACTTTTAAAAAGTAGTCTCAAAACAGATTTGTGCATGGCCTTTTCTTGATTTTTTTTTTGTTGTTGTCACGAATCCGGTCCATGGACTTCCGTTTGATCGCCACCAGAGGTCACCCTACCATTACATTGACTCTCATACTACACAAACTGTTACACATCACCCTGGACATAGCCTATGGCTATTATAGCCCTTAGCTGTTAAAACATTAATGTTATGTCATAATATGTCAGATACCTCAACTGAATTTAAAATCATTGCAATAAATTCTCAGTTGGTATGATGACAATAATAAGTAAAAACTCCTCAAATCAACATCAAATGCAAACATAGATGTAAATGATGCAAGATATAATACAATAAATGCTCTAATAGCATTGCTGTTTGGACATTTATTGGGAGTTTATTTTTTTTAAATCCATTGTTTTCAGTTCTGATTTTGATAATATGTGCATAATGATAACTTTAGACAATTTGACACGTTTAATTCAGGTGCGAAAATAATTAATATCTATAGAGCATGAGCACAGAGAGATTTGCGAGTGCACAGGACACAGTTTGAGTGAGAGGAGAGACACGTTTTCTCCGCCCGCGAGTGAAGAGATTCGCGCTCGCGCATTGTATTAATGTGTTTTCACGCTACAATAATGCGCTCTCGACATTTGTCATTAAAATAACGCCATACACTTCAAGCTGGCTTTCTGAATCAAAGCTTCCTTGTAGAGAGAGAACTAAGATGTAGTTTCGTGTCTGTTCTCAGTTCTCAAAGCTTTATCACGGGATGAAACGCTCCACTAACCCCCCGCACATCTTTGCCACCGCTGATGCAGCCTATCAGAGCATGGTCGCCCTCTCCAAAGACCAGGTACTGCTTTCTGTGTGTCTGCACTCTCATTCCTAAAACAATAAAGAGTATATCTAAGATATATACGGTTCAGAGACATAGTAGACTGACTTTCAATATGGTTTTAAATATTTATGTGGGGTTCACCAGTGGTCTCTTTCTCTTTAAACAGTGTTCACACTAGTTTATTTACATTTACATTTAGTAATTTATGTTATACTACCAGCTCCAATTCTTACATGATACTGAAGCATTTTTACGGGCAGGAAATTCACACGGACACAGCATGCTCACGTTCCAAGAAGTGCTCCAAAAATGCTCACCATCCATCCTTTCTAGAAAAAGATGACTAGGATCACATTTAACCTACAAACTTTAACCTACCAAAAAAACGTTTAATTTTCCCATGAACCTGAAGGCCCCCATTGGATGAATGAATGAATGAATGAATGAATGAATGTTTAGATACGAGTTCAGATTTAATTTTACATTTACATTTAGTTATTTAGCAGACGCTTTTATCCAAAGTGACTTATAAATGAGGACAATGGAAGCAATCAAAATCAACAAAAGAGCAATGATACGCAAGTGCTAAGACAAGTCTCAGTTAGCTTAATGCAGTACATATAGCAAGGGTTTTTTATTATATAATAAAAAAAAGAAAACCGATAGAATAGAAAAAGAATAGAGCAAGCTAGTGTTGGAGGCCTTTTTTTGTTTTTTGTTAATTGTATAATAAATAAAAAGAATATAAAAAGAATAGAGAATTTGAATTTGAGAGAGACAAAAATTTATATTTTTATTCAGCAAGGACACATAAGATTAATCAAAAAGTACAATGTTAAAAAAAATCTATTTCAAATAAATGCAGTTTGAACATTAACCTCTTGGGGGGAAAAGCAAGATTTCCAGAAAAATATTAATCACAAAACTGTTTCTTAATAATGATAATAATGAGAAAAGTTTCTTGAGCTGCATATCAGCATGTTAAACTAATTTCTGAAGGATCATGTGACCCAAAAAGACTGGAGTAATGGCTGCATTTTAATATATATTAATTAGAAAAGTTTTTAATTGCAATTTTACTGTTTTTACTTTATTGATCAAATAAATGAATACGAGACTTCTTTCCAAAACGTTGAAAGAAAAAAAAAAACCTTACAGACCCCAAACTTTTGAATTGTAGTGTAGATGCATGAAAGGAGAATTGTCTTTTTTTCTTTTATTTTTATGAACCAGCTGTCTACCAAATTTCCAGATTTCTATCAGATCTCAAATTATATTGTTTTGCATTTCGTCTAATAATATTCTGTGGTATAGTTGAGATATTATTTATTTTTTGAATATACAATGGTTAGCTTTTTTCATATATTTTCTTCCAATTGCATGTCTAGCAAAATAATAAATAAATAAATAAAGGTAAATAAAAATATACATCAATATACAAATACAGTAGTCAGCATCTGAAGTGGATCGAAACCTTTCATCAAAGTTGTCCTAAAACTTTGATGAACTTTTTTTGATCCACTTCAAATGTTGACTACTGTAAATAAAAAATAAACATCTTATTATTGGTGCTTCTGTGTATATATGTGGAATGAGTGTTTATATATTTGTATTGTTTTGTCTGTGCAGTGTATAATCATTAGTGGAGAAAGTGGAGCGGGTAAAACCGAGAGTGCCCACCTCATCGTCCAGCATCTCACATTTCTGGGCAAGGTTGGTTACTCGTATCTTTTATACTTTAGCTAACACACTTCATACAAACACTACTGTGTGTGCTCTAAAGAAATGTTTCAGTAACCAATCTTTGTGTTTTATCATGAGATTCCTGATCATTTTCCCTGTAGTGATGTAATCATCTGTGGCTGTAAGATTCGCAGATCAAAAATCTGGGTCACACTCTTTTCTATTTCAAGGCTAATAATCGAACACTTCGTGAGAAGATTCTTCAGGTGAATCCCCTGGTGGAGGCGTTTGGTAACGCGTGCACAGCCATTAACGATAACTCCAGCCGCTTCGGGAAATATCTGGAGATGCAGTTCACACCTGCAGGGGCCGTGATGGGTGCAAAGATCTCTGAGTATCTTCTGGAGAAATCAAGAGTCATCAAACAGGCTACGTGAGGAACCACTGTGCCTAGATCTGTGGCCATTTTTAACAATAATTACTATTCACAGCTTATATTTTTAATTTGCAGGGGCGAGAAAAACTTCCATATATTTTACTACATCTATGCTGGTCTTTACCACCAAGACAACCTCAAAAAATACAGGCTACCCAACAAAACTGCCCCCAGGTTTGTGTGTTTATTTGAAGTGAAACAGACTCTTATAAAGATGTGTATTTCTGAATCCAGATCATGTGTGTCACTGACAGAGATCAGAGATTCACGTTACGTTTCTGTTCTTTCAGATACATCGCCTGTGTCAATGGTAAAGTAATGCAGGACATCATCTCTAGCAAACTCTACGAGGAGCAGTTTGACGCCATTCAGGACTGTTTCCGTATCATAGGATTTACTGAAGAGGTACAGCTGGAATTCTGATTTATATTTCTTAATCCTATACAATTATTAAAGGGATAGTTCACCCTTTGTGATTTATATTTTTATATACAGGAAGTGAATTCTGTGTACAGAATTCTATCAGGCATTTTAAACACAGGAAATATTGAGTTTACATCCACCAGCTCCCAACATCAGAGCGACAAGAGTGAGGTGCCCGACTCTGAGGCCTTAGATAATGGTAAGAGCCTTAATAAAATGATTAAATACAAAAATAGCTTTATAAAATGGATAGTTCTGGTCCTTGATTCTGATTGGTTGAGCCGTATTCGAAGCTGTTGTAAATTACTCTGTGTGTTGCTCGGCAACCACTTTGTTGCAACCACAACTGTTTCTGAGGAACTACATTGTTTGGTGGAAGAATACTGTTTTTATTAATATCATTACACTTTATTTGCTCTGTTTTATTCTGTGAAACCTTACTACCTATATGGAATAACCGTTTTATAAAAGCAATAATCCCCGTGAAGCCGTGGTTTACAGTGAATTTATAACAGCTAAGGGGCGTTGTTAGGTACGACGTGGAGCGGAGTGACTAAAACCCCCTTAGCTGTTATAAATTCACTGTAAACCACGGCTTCACAGGGCTTATTGCTTCAGTAAATAATGTAAAATATATCATAACACAATAAACAATCTCCTTGAATGCATTTAATTGGCTTACCCTTAACTCCACCGCGTACCTAACAACGCCCCTTAGCTGTTATAAATTCACTGTAAACCACGGCTTCACAGGGCTTATTGCTTCAGTAAATAATGTAAAATATATCATAACACAATAAACAATCTCCTTGAATGCATTTAATTGGCTTACCCTTAACAGCTCTCTGTTGTATAATCACTCAGTCATGTTTTATGTATTTATTTATTTGTTGACTAGTTAGGATGGAAGTTAGTTTGTTGCCACTTGTCAATTGCCGGTATAATTAACCTGAATACAGAGAATATTAGAAACACTCTGAATCTTCTATGAATGCAAATATCCGAGACCTACAGGTCACTACATTGTCCCATGACTACCCTAGTGAAAAATAAAATGTATTTGGAATATATATAAGTATGCTACAAATTGATGTGCTCAATAAAAATACCTTACAATACTTTTTAGTATACTAAACTGGTATACTTAAAGTCTGCTGAGTTGGAACAACTAATGTTGTGCTTGATGAACTTTAATTGTGCAGAAGTAGTGCTGAAGTCCAACTAAAGATATGCTGAAGTATATATAAGTGGAACTATTGCAAGGATACTTCAGGTACACTTTAAATATCTTGCATTTAAAGACTGATATTATTCAAAGATCATACCATCCTCATCAACAGTGACATTAAAACACATTTAAAACACATTTTAGGCTTAATATTAATAAATGTGCATTGTGCACAAGTAGTACTCCAAATAAAGTTTAATTATAATTTTTATATCAGTAAGACTCAAGTGATATGTTAGTAAATATATTAATAGATTTTAACTATACTTAGTATGACATAATAAAGCAATAAGCCCCAAGAAGCCGTGGTTTACAGTGAACTTATAACAGCTAAGGGGCGTTGTTAGGTACGACGCGAAGCGGAGTGACTAAAACCCCCTTAACTGTTATAAAATCACTGTAAACCACGGCTTCACGGGGCTTATTGTTTTTATAAAACGGTTATTCCATATACGTAGTAAGGTTTCACAGAATAAAACAGAGCAAATAAAGTGTAATGATATTAATAAAAACAGTATTCTTCCACCAAACAATGTAGTTCCTCAGAATCTGTTGTGGTTCCAATAAAGTGGTTGCCGAGCGACACACAGAAGTAAACAAAGGTGTATGTTTGTAGAGTAATTTACAACAGCTTCGAACGCGGCTCAACCAATCTATAAAACGGATAGTTCCGGTCCTTGATTCTGATTGGTTGAGCCGCGTTCGAAGCTGTTGTAAATTACTCTACAAACATACACCTTTGTTTACTTCTGTGTGTCGCTCGGCAACCACTTTATTGGAACCACAACAGATTCTGAGGAACTACATTGTTTGGTGGAAGAATACTGTTTTTATTAATATCATTACACTTTATTTGCTCTGTTTTATTCTGTGAAACCTTACTACCTATATGGAATAACCGTTTTATAAAAGCAATAATCCCCGTGAAGCCGTGGTTTACAGTGAATTTATAACAGCTAAGGGGGTTTTAGTCACTCCGCTCCACGTCGTACCTAACAACGCCCCTTAGCTGTTATAAATTCACTGTAAACCACGGCTTCACAGGGCTTATTGCTTCAGTAAATAATGTAAAATATATCATAACACAATAAACAATCTCCTTGAATGCATTTAATTGGCTTACCCTTAACAGCTCTCTGTTGTATAATCACTCTTATGTATTTAATGTATTTATTTATTTGTTGACTAGTTAGGATGGAAGTTAGTTTGTTGCCACTTGTCAATAATTAACCTGATTAACCTGAATACAGAGAATATTAGAAACACTCTGAATCTTCTATGAATGCAAATATCCGAGACCTACAGGTCACTACATTGTCCCATGACTACCCTAGTGAAAAATAAAATGTATTTGGAATATATATAAGTATGCTACAAATTGATGTGCTCAATAAAAATACCTTACAATACTTTTTAGTATACTAAACTGGTATACTTAAAGTCTGCTGAGTTGGAACAACTAATGTTGTGCTTGATGAACTTTAATTGTGCAGAAGTAGTGCTGAAGTCCAACTAAAGATATGCTGAAGTATATATAAGTGGAACTATTGCAAGGATACTTCAGGTACACTTTAAATATCTTGCATTTAAAGACTGATATTATTCAAAGATCATACCATCCTCATCAACAGTGACATTAAAACACATTTAAAACACATTTTAGGCTTAATATTAATAAATGTGCATTGTGCACAAGTAGTACTCCAAATAAAGTTTAATTATAATTTTTATATCAGTAAGACTCAAGTGATATGTTAGTAAATATATTAATAGATTTTAACTATACTTAGTATGACATAATAAAGCAATAAGCCCCAAGAAGCCGTGGTTTACAGTGAACTTATAACAGCTAAGGGGCGTTGTTAGGTACGACGCGAAGCGGAGTGACTAAAACCCCCTTAACTGTTATAAAATCACTGTAAACCACGGCTTCACGGGGCTTATTGTTTTTATAAAACGGTTATTCCATATACGTAGTAAGGTTTCACAGAATAAAACAGAGCAAATAAAGTGTAATGATATTAATAAAAACAGTATTCTTCCACCAAACAATGTAGTTCCTCAGAATCTGTTGTGGTTCCAATAAAGTGGTTGCCGAGCGACACACAGAAGTAAACAAAGGTGTATGTTTGTAGTGTAAATTTACAACAGCTTCGAATGCGGCTCAACCAATCAGAATCAAGGACCTGAACTATCCGTTTTATAAATGTATTTTCAATATATTGATTTTTTACTAGGGTAGTTAAACCTGGAATATAATGTTTTGAAATACTGTATTTCAGATGTTAGATTACAGATACAACAGTAGAGAAATTTGCTAATTTGGTTGTTTAAAGGCTAATTCACACTGCACTGACAAACACAGAACAACTTTGACAATCATCACATTGCAGTATGTCACTTCTCATACATTCAACGGCCCGACGAACGGCAAAATATGTGCAACTGGCGAAAACAAGCACTGACCAATGACAGCAGACATCGATGGGGTAATACATTGATTGGACAAAGTCTGTCTGTTGACGTTGGTCAGCGTTGATATGTTCAAGATGGATGCATTATTGATGCTTTTATATTTAGTATTTAAAACCTTTTAGAGATTTCATGAATGTTAGTTTCTTGGTTTGCATCTACAGAACCCACATTCTCCTAATGAAATAAATCTCACGGATGTGTTAGAAACAAATTGACTTATGAAAGACAAAAGATGAGAGGCATAGGTCCATTCCTGATGTTCTTCTGTCTGTATCTGCTGTGTTCAGCAGCCGCTCTGCTCAGTATCGGCTCTGAGGAGCTTCAGGAAGCTTTGACCTCCCACTGCGTGGTAACTCGAGGAGAAACCATCATTCGCACCAACACTGTGGACAAGGCCACTGATGTGAGAGACGCCATGTCTAAAGCCCTGTACGGACGCCTCTTCAGCTGGATAGTGAACCGCATTAATGCACTGCTGCAGCCTGACACTAACATCTGGTACGATAAAATATTACAGTCATTATCAGGGATGCATCCTTCGAGCTGCACTAGAGAAGGCAACGAGTGTTATCACTATGTCGGAGACACGCTAGCTTTCCCAAAGCAGACGAACAAACGATTTTGACGCAATGTTTACACTGAAGCTGGCAGCTATGTTAAGGGGCATGACATTTCCCGACCAGGCGCCGAGTGCTGCCAATCACAACATACACTGGCCCAGCTAACCCATCAC